TTGTCGTTATGGTCAAAGGAACCTGTTTGCCGAGGATATCTAAAGTCCTCCAGGTGACCCTAGATACCATTTGCGCTTGGTGTAAGGGAGAGAACCTCTCAATAAACCCGCAAAAGACAATTGTTGTGCCCTTCACCAGGAAACGAAAGTTGGATGGACTAATCCGCCCAACTATCCAAGGTGAAGAAATTCCTTTCTCAAAGGAAGTCAAATATCTAGGAGTAATCCTAGACAAAACCCTGTCATGGAGTGGACATTTGCAGGAAGTTTTGCACAAAGCTAGACTATCCTTGTGGACTTGTCGCAGTCTTTGTGGAAATAATTGGGGTCTTACCCCTGAAAGACTGTACTGGCTCTATGTGACTGTGGTTAGACCTATGATCACATACGGAGCAGCAGCCTGGTATAGGAAAGTCCGACAGATTTTAGTTATCAGTAAACTTTCACGAATTCAACGAGTAGCTGGATTGGCAATCTCTGGTGCGATAGGCACAACGCCAACTCTAGCAATGGAGGTTCTGTTTGGCCTATCTCCTCTGCATTTGCATATAGAGAAAGTGGCTAGAACAACCCTTTACAGATTTAAGCAATATGCTCAAAACTGTTCCGACGTGTCCTACCAATGGGCTGCGGAAGACATTATAAGCACTGATACTGTGCTATCAATGCCGTCAGATTTGGCGGTATCACTATCAGTGATTAATGCTCGATACCAGATTGTACTGCCTGGGCGGCAGTCCTGGATCGAAAATGAAAATTCACTGGTTCAGGCAGACATTTGCTTGTACACAGATGGATCAAAAACGCCTGAAGGGGTAGGTGCAGGAGTATACTGCCAGACACCTCGCATTAAGCAAGCTTACAGCCTGGGTACGTACTGTACTATATTACAGGCGGAAGTATTTGCTATTGACATGGGTGCTAAAATCCTTCTTGAAAGAGGGGTGAAGAACATGACAGTACGAATTTTCTCAGACAGTCAAGCCGCTCTCCAGGCGCTGTAAGCCGTGAAAACGGTGTCGGCTCTGGTTAATGATTGTAAGAGAACATTAAACACACTGAGTTGTGATAACAGAGTCTCTCTGATCTGGGTCCCGGGTCACTTTGGGGTTGCTGGCAATGAAGCGGCAGATAAGCTAGCACGAGATGGCAGCAGTTGGTGTATCATTTGTGATGGCTAAATATAGGATTGGACTGTGGGTTGAAGAGAGACTTCGCCTACTATGGACCAGTTCTCCTGGAATGAGACATGCTAAGGTGTTTATTAACATCGCCACTGTCAAACCCGGGAATATTTTAGGACATGGCCGTAGTAGCATAAAAGTTCTAATGGGTGTTTTTACTGGGCACTGCCGATTAAAAGCACACCTCAACTTGTTGGGTTTAGCCGACGATGTTGAATGCCGACTATGTGCGGAGGAAGCAGAGATGGTTGAGCATGTTTTATGCCACTGCCCTGCCGTTAACCGTATCAGATTCTCGATTTTTGGGTCGCAGTTTATCTTCTCAAGCACCATGCAACATTGGACTGCATGGTGAAATTTGATAACGATATCTATCGGAGTACAATAGATCCTTAGGGTCACGGTGCAAGGTTGGTTGGTCCGCCTACCCGATATATAGTCAATGCAATGTAATGTAATGTAATGTAAACCATTGTACACCGAGTTGACTTCATCTAACAAAGCATCGAACTTTCACCTGCTTAAAGCCTGCGACGAGATGAGGTTGATTATCTTTGTGACTATCGCCATTACATTATCAAAAGATGTAAAACCACTCTTAGCACACAAGGCTTGTTGGTGAATGATGCAGTGGAATTGAAGAATCGAATGCCCTACGTCTGTTTGAAATAAACTTAGAAACCATTTGTTACCCACCATAAAGAGCTAAAACAGAGCAAGACAGCTAAACGAGCAGATTTAGCGTCGTCAGTGCTTTCGTCAAGACATAGCGATATAAAAGAAGCAGAGCTAATGTAAATTTTTTGTTGATATGTTTCATTTTCGGCCAGTTAAGATTCTTTCTTTTATTGTGTTTCTGGACAGAGGAGTATCTTTAATGCGCTGAATTATCTTATCTTTATTATCGAAATCAACAAAAAGGGAGGGCGCGCATGCTAACCAGACTTCCTTCAAAAACTCTCACAGATAAAACTCAAACTTCAAATCAAGTATTCACTATTATGTTATGAATAAACAAACAAAAAAAAAATAAAAAAAATGTGATGTAGATTGTAGGGATCACTCGCGTTTGCTCGTCATATAATACCTACTTCACACTTTTTCGTAGTGCATCATAATGAATTTTGTGATCAGTGACGTGCCCAAAATATTGTGTCGCGTGCCATTGGTTCGCCATCCCTGTCCTAGAACATATAGTGAAACAAAACTATTGTACTTTTAATAATGAATATTATAAAGTTTCAGATGGCCTCCCATTGGGCATGCCTTTATCCGGCTTACTTGGGGATATATTTTTAGATTTTATTGAAAATACATATAACTATATGTTATGTTGATGATGTCTTTTGCGTGTGGAATGGTGACATTGATACCCTTAATTTGTTCCACAACTATATTAACAAACTTCACAATAAATTGAAATTTACTTTAGAATTGGAACAGGACAAAACATTAAATTTTCTGGCTCTCACTATTTACAATAAAAATAATCGTCCTGGTTTCAGCATATACAGAAAACCGTCTTCTGTTCCCGTCACTATACCATTTGATTCATCTCATTCTCTAACTCATAAAATGGCCAATTTTAGATTCTTAATCAATTCATAATTACCCTCTTAAACAATCTAGTTATAACTTAGAACTAAAATATACATATATATGACCTGGCACATAATTAATATCTAAAATAATACAAAATTCACAAAGAAGGTCAGATCCTTTGTATGTCCAAACTAGAAATAGAAACCGTTTCATATCCATTCCCTATCATCCCTCCCTTGAACCTTTCAAACATATCCTATACAAATTTGAACTAAATCTTTCCTTCCATAATAAAAATTCTATTTTAAATATCCCATCCAATCACAATCTTAAGATAGAATTTTTAAATCAAAGCGGTATATATTCTGTTGATTGTTTTAATTGTAATGCGAGGTATATAGGACAGACTGGTCGAAAACTACAAACCAGACTTGGGAACACCAACAAAAACCAAATTCTAATATATTCCAACATCAAATTGTAACCGGCCATAAGATCAATTTTGAAGGAGTTAAACTTTTACATCGTTGCAATAAAGGTCATAAAATGGATCTACTCGAATATTATGAAATTTAAAAAAAAAATAAAGATCCAAAAATCAACAATATAAATGATCAAATCGAATTCCAGCGCAAACCACTTTTCAACTATCTTCGTTAATATCACTCCTTCTCTTTTAATCCAGTCTTGTTACACTCATTTTATGTTAGTTTGTCATTTCATTTGTCATTTGTAATGTGTTTATCTTGTTATTTTATCATGTAAGTTTATAATTTTGTATAATTCATTTTATATATAAAGTTTCTCATTTTAGTTTTTATTTAAAAAAAATTGGAAGTTATTAATTTATGTCTGAGTTTTTTGTTCTTTTTTGTTCATTTTGACAGTAAGTTTTTCATTTGTTTTAAGATATTTTCTTGTTATTTATTTTAATATTGTAGATTCAACCGAAACCGGTTCTGATTATATAAAATTTTTAGCGAGTAAGAGTTAATTTATTTAAATACCTATATTTTATATTTAATTATAAGAAATATACCCAACAAACTATATATATTTGTTATCAGAAGAAAATAACAAAGTAATTTTAGGTCATAGCCAACTATGGTTTCCATTTAAAAAAATAAAGTTATGTACTTCTAAAATCCCGATGTAGCATGCTGTGCACACGACATGTAAAAACAGATCGTGTTGCTAAAGAAATTTATTATTATTATCAATTATTTATTATCAATCAATCAGTCTTTTCAAATTATTTCATTCATCAATTCAAATTATTATTATCAATCGTTTGTTCATATTAACAGTAATTTCAAATTATAATCATTCATTTAACGTGTACTGTTCATATATTCATTAAAATATAATTATTAACAAAATATATTATATTATTATTTTTATTATATTGTGGACATATAACCACACTCGATAATAAAAGATTCTTCGTAAAAAGTTAACCCTATAATGTTTTATTTATAATACTCTAAATCTTTGGTAATAAGCGAGATATTCGCGTTTGTCGCTTTCGTAAATTTTTCAGTTTTTGCCGATAGGGCGAAAACAAAAGACTTCTTGGAAAAGAGTTGGCATTAGCAGTTTCTCGAAAAACGAGATCATGACATGTAAGCTACTTTTTTTATCCTTTTTAGTTTAAGAGATAGCCTATGCGGGCAACGAATTTGGGACACCTGTACTTACATAAAGTATGGAGTGAATTCGATAAAAATTCTAGGAATACTCTTCCAGAAAAGAGGCTTGGACATCCATGTTATATTTTTTAACGCGCATTTTTTTAGATAAAATTGAAATATACAGGTGTCCTAAAATTAATATACCATGCCTAAGTTGATATTTTTAAATGGGAACCCCCATTTTTTGGCGCATTTATGGATTCTACGTAAAATTATGACTATTTTTCAAGTTGTCTGGTATCATTCTATCTTCTTCCTAATGTTGTCTTTTATTTAAAATATCTTAGGAATTATATTTCTCGAAAGAATTGATATCTGAATTTAAAACATAACTTAAAAATGTTTTATTATAAAAGTTATTTAAAAGATAAAATTCATCGAAAATCGTTGAGTGGAAAAGAACTAGCGATAATTTTTATCATCCAACAATAGTCCAAAAAAAAAACCTGTAACCTTACCCCAACAATACCAAGAAAGTTTCGTGACTACATAAGTTGATAAGCCATGGCCGTGTGCAAAATTCCTCCATCGACGATCGTATAAATACTGCAGAACACGATGATTCTAATCAGAAGTGGTTTTAATTTTAAATCGCAACAATGCGTATAAAGAATAAGCTTGCAATAACCATTAAATTTCATTGATGAGGTAAGTTAAAGTTTTCATTAATAAAACATTCTTTCTAATATTTCAACAAAAATGATTAATTTTTTTTCCACTTTGTTACAGTTATTTTGTCGATTTAGACAAGAAAATCAAAGAATATTTCTTAATCATAAAATCATTGAAAGAACCACAACGAAATAACTGTCTTCGTTCATCAATTATCTAAATCAATAAGGAAGTGATGGTTACCTTCGTGCTCATACCGTTTTGAAAAGCCACTCAAAAGCTTTTCGGGTGTATAATTTTAACTACAGAGAAACGCAACATGGTTGTGCTGGCATCTACTTATATCTACATGGATGAAACCTGCTGTGCAATCTGAAACTGATAATGGCCTAACCAAATTTGTCATGGAACTTTTAAAATATTAAAATAGAATTTGTTCTAAAAAAGATTTACTCCGTAAATTGTGACTAGAATAAAATTTTCGTGTTTTAAAAAGCATTTGAACTTCCATATTAAATTATTTAGATCATTATCGGTTTTAGGTGACAAACGGGTTTCATCCATACAGATACAAGGTAGATGCCAACGCGACCACGTTTCTTTTCTCTGTAGTTTAAATTATATAATCGATAAGCGTTTGCGTGGGTTTTTAGAACGGTATGAGCACAACGCTAATCAACAAGCGAGGGAGATGCCAACTCGACGATGCTTGGAACGTTTCAAATTGTGTTATTGTTTGAAACATTAAATAATATATTTATAATAACAACTTGAATTTTATTATTCTTTAATACGACTCCTACATGGTTTTAAGTTGTTAAATTACGAACAAATTTAGTTATTTTTTATTTAAACTTAAAGACATGAGTGCGTAATTTAAAACTAACATGATATACGAGAAACGTTATCTAAATTTGTAAGAAATTAAAATTTTTGAAAAATTATACCTTCCTCATTTTTAAAAGTTGGGCCGTGTTCTTTATCTCAAATTAAAGCTCAAACATTCCAATTTATGACAAATTTTAGAAAAGGCAGGATTTGATTGTAAAAATTTTGAGAAATGTAATGATAACAAAAAATTGTCAAATTATGCGAGAACATATAAGAAAATTAAAAATTTTAAAAAATCATACCGTGCTTATTTTTAAAAGATGGAACGCGTTCTATTTCTCAAATTGAAGCTCAAACATTCTAATTTATGGTAAGATTTTGAAAAGACAGGATTTGATTGTAAAAATTTTAAGAAATGCAATGATAAACAAACAATTGCCAAATTATGCGAGAACTTCTAAGAAAATTAAAGATTTAAAAAAATCATATCTTCCTTATTTTTAAAAGATGCAACCCGTTCTATTTCTCAAATTGCAGCTCAAACATTCTAATTTATGATAAGATTTAGAAAAGACAGGATTTGATTGTAAAAATTTTGAGAAATTCTGAATGCACCTATAAAGCTGATGTCGAAAACAGGTGGTAGTTTAAATACAAATAAATTATATATACAGTGTCTCCGTAAAGTAACGGATATAGGCTATAAAATCATAATAAACGGTTTATGGAAGAACCCCTGAAACGGGTCTAAAGATTTAAATTTTCTGCAATTTTTTGTTGTAGATTTTAAAACTTTCCCGCCATTTTTAAACGAGTTATGACGTCATCGATATTTTTTTCAAATGGCAATCCCCCATTTTTGTTATGAAATATGAAAGAGGATTTTTTTCTGAATATAGTACAGTCAATATTGGTTACATAAGAAAATTTGCGAGAAAAATTACTTTAAAGTTTAATTACTTCAAATTTGTATAAATGATAAAAATAACAGTAGCCATGAGTAACTATGGTAACCAATTATTCTAAACAATTCCCTGAGTGTCAAAAACTGATTTAGTAAAGCTTCTTGAAGTGTGGTGGCGCGCCATCTTGTTGGAATAACTGCCGTTGGAATTGAATTGTGTCAAAATTACCGAGATGGAAGGAATGACATCGCTTTGAAAAAATTTAAACATCTCTTTCCACTTAAGGTTTCCTCAAATCTTTTGCGGATATTGGGTATGCGACTTTCTTGGCTAATTTGGATTTTGGATAGCGCAATACCGACAATTTTGTCTATTTACTTGTCCACTCAATGTAAATGTTCCCTCGTCGAAAAAATGTTTTTGACAAAGTCTTTGTCATCGTTGCAAAACTGTTGTTGCAAAAACTACGATTCATTGCTCGTGAATCAGGTTTACTTTATGGGAATGACATTTTCCGGGTTTTAAAATTTTGTGAACCGTTGATTTACTAATATCCAAATTAGACCCAATACTCCTTACATGAGGGTTTTCTTGGAGAGCCAAAACCACGGTTTGTTGAAATTCTCCTGAAACATTTAGTAGGCCAGACTTCGAGAAATGCTTCGAGAGATGCCCATCCTTTTTAAATTTAGTCACAGCTAAGGTCACCATACTTTGGCCAATAAGTTGGCGATTAGGATATGTTGTATTAAAAGGGTTAACTACTTACTAAATCAGTTTTTGTCACTTATGAATAGGGCACGGAACTTTTGTAACGAAACGATGCGATTTACCCCCTCCACTTGTTCTCCTAGAAAATAAGGTGGTGGGGTCAAGTCAACTCACCTCATCGGTTGTTGTTGACGACCGACAATCGGTTTATTACACGTCAGTGTCAACTATCACTACAATTTGAAAATATTAAAAAAAAAATATATTTTATAACTTTAATTCAAACAAACAGGATCCGATTTGTAATATCAATCACAAATCGGATACGGATATAAAAATATTGCTGTTAACGTATATTGAAACAATCATCCCTAAATTTTCATCTGTAAATGACGTTCTAGTTGACGTTAAAATGTGTTTGTACCTAGAGAATGATCTTTTAACATCACAACTTGTAAGTGGAGCATAAATAAAATACTGAGTTATTGAACCATATTTTTCCTTAAGAGTTAAAGGTATATTGTTTTCGGCAATTTGTTGAACAATTTTCAAATCCGAACAACAATTTTACCACAAAGGGAAACTAAAAACAATTCTTAAAAAAAAAACTATAATACGAACACAAACAGAACTCCAAATTCCAATTAAAGGTAACTAAAGAAAGATAAATAGCAAATTTGACGAAATTATGCGGATGAAAAGCGTCGAATACTGCACATTTGAACAACAGTGAAATCGTACTGACAGTTGACAATGTTGACATTGATGTGCAATAAAAAACTGATCGTCGGTCGTCAATAACAACCGATCAGGTGAGTTGACTTGACGCCAACGACTCATTTTCTAGGAGAACAAGAGGAGGGAGTAAATCGTATCGTACCGTTACAAAAGTTCCGGGCCCTACTTATGAAATTGTTTAAACTAATTGGTTACCATAGTTACTCATGGCTACTGCTATTTTTACCATGTCAACAAATCTGAAATAGTTAAACTTTAAAGTAATTTTTCTCGAAAATTTTCTTATGTAATCAATATTAATATTGACTGTACTAGATTCAGAAAAAAATCCTCTTTCATACTAGGTAATAAAAATGGAGGATTGTCATTTAAAAAAATATCGATGACGTCATAACTCGTTTAAAAATGGCGGAAGAAATTTAAAATCTATACCAAACAATTGCAAAATATTTATATCTTTAGACCCGTTTCAGGGATTTTTTCATAAACCGTTTATAATGATTTTATCGCCTATATCCGTTACTTTACGGACACACCGTATAAGAAAAAGAATTGTGGCGTTGATAAATAATAAAAATTAAACAATCTTACAAATGTCCTTTTTATTGGATCACTACTACACACTTTCGCGGTTTCGATACGAGTTGGTACTTGTTCGAATATGTCGTTACAACACGCGGGCGGTATACCGGTGTCCCGAAACTCAACGTCAAGCGGGCACCGGGTGAGAGGCCAACCCACACCTGTTCTGGTAAAAATAAGAAAAAAATTCCATATCTCTTAGTTAAGTGGTAATAGACATTTTTGAAAATGTTAAAAAACGTTCCCGTACATCATATCTTTAAGTACTACGATCAGAAATGTTCGCAATTTAATATTGATTTTTTAATAAAGTATTCCTTATGAATCATGCTGCTATAGAAGTTACAAATCAAACAACAAAAATCGTTAGTTTATCAAAACAAAAAATATTAGTTTGATTGAGTTAAGCTTGAGAGAATTACACTTAGTACAACACCCTTGGCAAGTTATTTTAAAAGATGGCCTGTTTAGTCAAGATTACAAAATGGTATAACACTTGCCAGTTTTCTTTTAATAAAAAATATTATTGCCTGTTTTTCTGCAAAAACCCTGTTATTTAAAAATTCATACTTTCGTATGTTATTTGTATTTCCTCCAAAATAATTTAACAACTTTGTTAGAAGATGTCCATTATGATGCTCGTCAAGTACCTTGAAGTATCGCGAATTATTGGAGATGTACACTAATTAGTTTTATTTTGTATGTAGATCTAATTTACGGTAATAATTCGAGATAATTGACGATCTCGGATATCTAGATTAATGTTATTGGTTAAATTTTCTTAATAAACAATATTTGCATTTTTTTCAAAAGTTTTCTTATGTAAGGGTACAAAAATATTACGTCATCGTAAAGAAAAAAGATATCTCTATGAAATGAGCTTAACGAAAGGATACATTGCTATTTAAAAGAATTTATGTGTTATTCGTTACTCATTTGTTTTCTGAATTAAAAATAATTGAATGCAGTCTTATTATAGCAAATAAAAGATTAAACAAGTTTTGTATAAGAAGTTTTTTTATAAAGTCAATATTTACCGAGATATATACTATATTCCATACATAATGGGCACTTGTATATAGGGTGTCTCAGCGAGACCGGTCATTAGACGTTTCTGGAGTTCTGGCCAAAATAAAAATTTGAGAGTTCAGATTTAAGTATAATCAATTGCGTTCTCTTCGACTAAAATATTTTCAGATTACTAGCACTTCCGGTTATAACAATCTGTTCTTGCAGACATTTGTTCAAAAGATCAGAAAACACTCGATTTTTGCGATATCAATTTAGGATTCAGAACATGCTTAAGCAACATGATGGAGTGTGTTTTGGTGCCGAGAACGGCTGTCTAGATTGTTTGGTCACTTTACATTAACTTTTCGAAATTTGGAAGTACCATAACTTCATTTTTTTAAATGGCACCCCCCATATTTTATTAGTTAGTCGTCTTCGACGTCTCATTTTACATCTTTTATACCCCATATGTCCTACATCTAAAATTAATAGTTTAGAAAATAATTAGGGTTTTTTGACAAATGCACACATATGATATCGATATTAACCTAGTGTGCCATGGAAAACAAATGTTTAATGACACACGTCAAAGTCTGATTTACATTGTCTGGTGTTTGTGAGTCGAAAACCAGTTAAAATGGATATTAATAACGTAAATAATGTTTATACAAATGAAAACCTTAATATATTTTTTTATGTACTTAAAGTGCGACAATGTTTTTAGTAGAACTTGCAGAATGTTTAATGAAAACTATCCACATTTACCTTTGATGACAAAAGGTAAATTTAGAAGAATTTAGAATTAATAGAAGCATTTTTTTTGCATTTTGGACGAATTAATCACGTGTTAAACTGACCAAAAAATGTAGTAGATAATGCAGCGGAAGAGGTGAATACCTTGACTTATTTCGTGCCCAGTCGAGCTGCCAAAGAAGTTCTGGGAATCATACTACGAACTTTGTCGCGCTTTTCACGTATAAAAAATAAATTA